TGGGGAGTTTCTTTGTTTATTGTTTCACGAGCTCACGTCTTTCAAAATAAAACCAATAAGAAAACAAACTCAAATTTTGTTAACACCTCCACTGAAACACAAAGCCAATATATTTTCTTAGGTGCATCCCATGGGTTAATTTGTGTCGAATTGTTTCCCTATTTTTCAAGACCAATTTATTCAAAACAAATAGGAAAATTATCTTCTTTCTTCAGAGTTTTCTTTTCCTTTTTCTTTTCTCTCACATCTGCTCTATTTTTATTTCTTCATCTGCTCTGGACTATTTCTATCGACATCTTTATTGTCAGAAGGACGGTGAGATTGCAAGAAGACGATGATCCGTTTGTGCTTTTCTCCGCTCTGTAATTCAAGCAAATGCCAAGACATAGTTAAACTTGGGCAACATTTATTCACTTGCTTACAATAACTTGCAAGTGCAAGAATAGAGAAAAGAAATACCAAAAATATTCTAATCAAGATAAAAGTTCCTACTGTGTGGCATTGATATACAGAGAAAATGAATGAGTTTAGGGTTAGAGAATGGAAAGATAAAGAAAGAGGGTAAAGTGAAATAAAAAGAGGGATAAAGTAAGAGAAAGAAAGGAGGAAGAGGGAAGAGCAGAGAGACGGACAGAAAGAAAGAAAGAAAGAAAGAAAGAAAGAAAGAAAGAAAGAAAGAAAAAAGAGAGAAAGAAAAACAGCATGAAAGCCAGAATGATACAGACAGAAAGAGAGAAATAGAGATCATGTGATATAAAAAGAAGAATAAAGTAAAAGAAAAAAAAAACAGAGTGATAGACATACAGGGAGAAATAAATAAATAATTAAATAAGGAAAGAAAAAAAAAAAAAGATAAAAAATAATGTAAGAAATTTATGACGAAAAAAAAAAAAAAAACAGACTGGATGAAAAATAGGATGAAAGACAGACCAGAGAGAAAAATAGAGGAAGAGGGTATGTGATATAATTGGGATGAGAAAGAAAGAAAGAAAGAAGGAAAAACAGAGAAACAGGCAGAGAAACAGAAAAAAAAAAAAGGAAAGAAACAAAAATAAATACAAGAAGAAAGGAAGAAAGAAAAAATAGAGAAAAAAAAAGAATGAGAGAAAGAGAAACGGAAAAAGGTAGGGAGGATGGATTGTCGAAAGAAAGGAAGAAAGAAAGAAAGAAAGAAAGGAAGGAAGGAAGGAAGGAAGGAAGGAAGGAAGGAAGGAAGGAAGGAATCATAAATAAGAAAGAAAGATGACATAAACTGTCAACAGAGAAAGAAGAAAATAATAAAGTGAAAATAAAGGTAGAATAGATAGAGAGATGCAGAAAGAAAGAAAGAAAGAAAGAAAGAAAGAAAGAAAATTAATTTAAAAAATAGTACTTAGGGTTAATGAAAACTGACGAGCCTCATCTTCAAAGGAATAAACAGATTAAAAACATATAAATGATATTTCATAATTCATTTCTACTCATCATTTTCAAATAAGTGCTCAAAATCAAATGTTTCACGAGAGTATTTTATATTCCAATAGTAACACCACCTCCAGCCATACGAACAAATACTAATAATTATTACTACTTATTATTATTATTATTATTATTATTAATATTACTAATAATTTTGTTGCTGCTATTTCTATTTAGCCAGCCTTTTCGTCATTTGTACTGTAGCTGGTATAGATTATCATTATTGATGATATTATTGTCACCATTAATTGGTTCTATACGAACCAATTATTATCCGAACAATAATTAAAATATCTTCAAGTGAGAAGTAAAAAAGGAAATCCATAATCAGAACGTAAAAACTCTTGCGCTCTTGCATCAGAAACAAAGAACCTTACCAAATGAACAAAATCCACGTTACATAAAGACTTCCAGTAGCAATGACAACTAAAATGTATAGCCCATGTAACTAGAAAAGACAATAATCATCAAGATGTTGATTTCAGCAAAATATTAGGAAGGAGACTTCCACCAGTATTAGAAAGAGCGATAACGGTTAGCGGACTTCAGAAATGTATTTTCAAGAAAATTAGTTTCAAGAAATGGATTTTCTAAAATTGAACCAACAGCAACACTAACTGAATACTAGATATTTTCTGCATGGAAAATGAATATTATTATTATTATTATTATTATTATATATTCTTTGATTTCCGGTGTAGACTCATTTCTTTCCGGGTCCCAACATGATACCTAAGCTAAGAAATATTATCATAAGATTTCCAGTGAGCATTAAAAAACAACAAAAAGCAACTAAAATCACACACATTTTACGTAGATGAGGCCCTTCATGATCTGTACTTGTGAGTAGAATCTTTTCTCTTTTTTAAAATATGGCCTAGCCGGAATCCCATCAATCAATCAATTATTTTCTCCACCACATTTTTTAATTTTCAATTTCAAGGTCCCTGTATTTTCTTCAAAGATACATTATATCTGCAGCGACAGTCGTTTCAATAAGAAGGCATATTCGATTTTGCGGTCTTTGATCACGATATATAGGCGATTAGCTTTGATTGTTTTGTCTGCGTGTATTGTAAATTCACATAAATTTCATAAAGTTATTATATCTGTAACTAGTTTCAGATGGTTTTTATACCAATTTCCGACAAAATTCTTCAGTATGTTTGATTGCTAATTTTTTGTTATCTAACATTGGTTTACTGCAACAAGAATAAAACCTTCGGTTTCAAGGCTGTACTATGTAACAACTGATGGGTACGGGGTTTGTCTACATCAGCTTGTTTGGCACGAGTAGAATATTAACCCTGAAGAGCCTTATATTATTATCATTACATGCATCTTTACTCCAGATACGTCGGCTTACGCTCATATAACGTTTAAATACTAGTTCTCATATGATCACGGGAGTTCAGCGACGTCGAGTGTGGTCTTTACCAAGATGGGTGACCACTTTGGAATACCATGTGCTGTGAGCTTGAATCTGTAGATGGTGTACTGGATGATGGGATTAGAGGTTTGAAAGTCTATTTCCAAATTCAGTTGGCTTTTTTTTCTATATTCACACGCGCAGATATCCTTAGAAAAAGGAATGATTCCGCCTCTTATTCTCACAGTATGGATTAATGAGTAGAACTAGTATCAGGAATTCATTTTTATCTTCAAACAAATTCTTACAATCTTAAAAATACATTTTCTGGCTTTAAATAACAGGAAAATATTTGATAAGTACGTAAAAAGAAATCATTCACCCCCAGATACCTGCGTAAAAATCGTTGAAGCTTCAGTATAATAATAATGTTCGTTATCTCTTTTCTGAGCACACCTCGATACTAGGGTAATCAATTCTTACGGGAAACGCCTGCTCAGACACATTTTTATTTGCTCAACACCCACAGAACTGACTTGTGTTTAATACACAGTCATTAGTCATTTTTTGGTTCAATCTGTGTTATAGCTTTCAGTCAGTTTCTAAACGTCACACCCGATGGGAACCTTAAGAAGTTACCTACGTGATAAATCTGACATAGTGAGATTCGTACTCGGATCTCATGGTCAGGAAGAGAACGTTCTAACCACTCGGCTACCAGCAGAAAAAAAAAATTACTCATAAATCACCAACACTTTAATATGTGTTGTTCCTGATCCAAGCAAAACCATATTCTATAAAACTTCGAATTAATCCATTTTATCCTGGACACTATTTATTTTTCTCATAATCCATGTGTTTTGTTATGAGTTCCAATTTAACCTTCAGATTCAGTATCTCTCTCAGTTTCTTGGTAAGGGCCATTTATATTTTTGGCAGTTTTTCATTGTCCTTCGCAATCGCTACTGGCATGGGCACATCCACAATTACATTCTTTCCTTCTTTATTCATTTAATTGCTTTGATAGAATTCTCAGATAGGGGGTTCGAAATGCCAAAGGACAGTTCCTGCTCTGTGCTGATAACATTCGTCGAACCTAAGTCATTTGCATTATACCAAGCGTATGACAGGCGTTACACTCTAGTACAAATATTTCATATTCTTTGCAACTAATATTCTGCAATGTGATTTAGCGTTTCATTCTTTGTTCCGCTTTTTCATTTCTTTTTGTTGGAAGTATCAATCTTTACTTTAATGCGATTCATTTTTGTCTCTTCAGGTATCGTCTGTGTAACCATGTCTATACTTTCCAACGACAATATTTTTATTTGTACATTAAATCATCATATTTACATAGCACCATTAGTTACTAGCAAATCTTCATATATGGGAATGGGTGCTGCTCATAGCTGATGTCTTCCGATGATTGATGTTTTGATGGAGGACACACAGTCGCCGATTCCATCATCGTGGGGCCCCTCCAACTTAGTACATTGATTTCAGTCTAGGAAGCCCTTCGCCCAAAGCTGATATGTCATCACCGCACTGATTGCAGGCCAAGATAAAAAGCGCAGTCTATTCTGTAGTATTAGATGGACGTTGATCCGACAAGAGGTTTTCACCGCAATTTGACAGGTCTTGGTTTTAATCCTCATCGATGACTAGCTGCTCCCTCATCAGAGGTGGGTAAACCAGTTTAGTCGTCGATGACGCGGCAATTTAGCAGGGCGAACTGTGTTACACTAGCATTCATACACTGAACTGACATAAGATAGAATGAACCTTTTCATACTTACAACTGTCAAATTCACATTTGACGCTTTGATTTTTTATTCGATTCGCTCACAAAACCCTAGTATAGATTATCCATCGTTTCATTTGTTTTATTATTTTTTTTTGTTTTATTTTTTATTTTTTGTTTGGCACCGATAGTGGGTTTTTTTCTTATAGAGAGTATTTTATTCCCTATATTGATTTGTGCTTTACGGATTATCAACATCTTGTTGGTTATTAAAGCTAGAACATATTTTATTAGATTATAATAATTTGTTCGACTATAACGATTTAATGATACAATTCCTATAGATTAACCAATAGATGAGGGCAAAGAAACTATAATTGGAACACGGCTCTCCGATTTTCAATTCCAAGTCATTATCCACACGTTGAAGATCACAGCATATGGCATTCTCAAGAGGTCACCATAGTAAGTACTGACAAGGCTCAACATTGTTTAACTCCGGCGATCGTACGAGATCCGGTGATTTAGACTGGCCATAATCTCTCTCTCTCTCTCTCTCTCTCTCTCTCTCTCTCTCTCCATATATATATATATATATATATATATATATATATATTCAAATGTAACGAGAACGAAAAGAATATAAATTCAAAAGTTCATGGCATTAATTTAAAAGAGAGCTCAATACCACAAAAAATGCCTCTTTGTCATGAGTACTTGTAACATCTTTATAGTATATATATATATATATATATATATATATATATATATATATATATATATATATATATATATATGGTGTCTGTGAAAACCTTGTAACAGACGCCCGCTCAAGCACATTTGTATTTTTTTCATCACCCACATAGCCCACATGTGGATCATGCTGCAACTATGCTGAGTGGACACCATCCATACATCCCAGCTTTCTACATTTATTATTCCCAGGCGTCCATCCACCTAGGTAATGATCAGGCTCGGCGTCGTTTAACTACAGTGATCGCACGAGGACCGGTGTTTCAACCTGATATCGTCATTATATGCTGGTTGGTGTCATTTATAGCAAAGTTAGTAAATGAAAGGAAGATATATATATATATATATATATATATATATGTGTGTGTGTGTGTGTATGTGTGTGTGTGTGTGTGTATTTGTGTGTGTGTGTGTGTGTTTGTGTGTGCAAAACTATAAAAGAAAGGGTCACTGAGCAAAGATATAATCAAAAATGAAAATGTTCATCATAAAAATAGTGGATCGAAAAATAAAAAAATAAATAGCAAAAAAATAGGCTAAACCGAGAACAAAAATGTACAGCGACTAAAAATTTATTATCAGCGAATCAGCCATAATAAGAGGGAAGGCTGGTTCGGCGTAATATATATATTTAAAATTCTCAGATGTTACTCTGCATGATTATAGTGAAAAAGTACCTGGCTAAAACTGGATTATTGATTGAATATTTAGCATGATCCGAATCAGAAATCTTTACAAGTATATGCAAATATTCACGCAGCTTCCAACGCGTGTCAGCTAACATGTGCTGAGCAATCTTTGTCTCCAGCCTCATATTAATTCTACCATTATATTGCGCATCTCACTGGCATTTGTAATTATAGATAACTGAACTAACCTCATGGTGAGAGGAGTGCAAAATAAGCTTTTAATTTAGTTTGGGAAGTGAAAAACAGGCCGATGATTGGTAGGAAAATAGCAAGGTATCAAATTTTGGGTGATATGCCTCGCAAATGTCGTTTCAGTTTTCCGTTTGGTTACCAGATGTCACAGGATGATTATTTGGGAAAGTTCCAACAGATGTATTAAGACCATAAACTTTATTCTCCAATCCTGAAATACACCCGTATTTAAGCATTTACTTAAATACACCGTATCTATAAAAATAACGTACAGATAGAACATATATTAAATAATTGACAGACTTAATCCATTTCAATATATATAAATACATATATATATTTAAAAAAGAAAGAGGTTGCAGTGGTTCCAACGAGAGAAATGTATGTATATTAAAAAGAGAAGAGAGGTGCCGCAAACGTTTTTGGTTGTAATGTGGATTTAAAAAAAAAATATTATACTTTATTTTCCATAATTTTACTACACGTGCTTCTGATCTCGTGACCGTCTTCAGGTAAAAGAGGAGATTTCCACATATCAAACATGCGTATATGTACGTATGTGTGTGTATGTATGCGTGTATGTGTATGTGTATACTGGTTCTATGTAGCTTGGGGAGTATGAGTGTGTATGTGTGTGTGTATGTATGTACGTGTATGTACTGATTCCTTCTGGTGGGACGGTGTGTATGTGCGTATGTGCATGTATGTGTGTATGTGTACAAATGAGTTTATTAATTCCTCGTAGTAAGAAGTATATGTATGGAGGGGGAATATACGCACGCATATATACACGAATGCTGACAGAAGCACACGAAAATGGAAACAAATCCAAGAACACATAAGGGTCAGTAAAACATTAAAAGATAAAATGCCAATAACTAATTCATCATTTCGCTTGGACCAACCTTAATTGTTTTATGACCCTTCGCGCAGAACTCTTCATTGCCAATTCAAGAAAGACATTCGATTTACTAACACAAAAACAGAGAATGTCTCATATCGAGAATATTTAACATTGAAAAACATAAGGAAAAACTTAATCATTTTTAATAATATGTGGAAATCTCCGCTTTTACCTGAAGACGGTCACGAGACCAGAAACGCGTGTAGTAAAATAATGGAAAATAAAGCATAATATTTTTTTCTAAAAAAAAAAATTCACATTACAACAAAAACGTTTGCGGCACCTCTCTTCTTTTTTAATTTTATATATATATATATATATATATATATATATATATATATATATATATATATATATATATATATCTTTTTTTCTTTTCTTTATCACATTTAACAGCGGTTTTTATTAATTTAACAGATTTTTTACAAATATTGTTTCTTGTAAAATGTTTGATATTTTGAGTTATATATATATATATATATATATATATATATATATATATATATATATATATATATATATATGTTGAGCGTTGACTTCTATAAGAAACTTATCCGCCCCCTGAGAGGTATTTGTTCTAGTTGGGGAGCTGATTTAGACGTCCACCACCCATTCATGTAGCAAGATGTTCTGGTTTATATGTTAGCAGTAACAGGTCCAAGCGTGAATTGACAGAGATAGATAAAATGCAAATGTGCCAGTTAATTATATAATTTAATATATCACATTAGCTCAATAGGAATCTAAAAGTAGATATGTGTTGACGTTGCTATGCCAATAACTAGTCAAAGGCATCCACCAGTTTCTGGAAACTAGGGTGGCCATTTCAAGCACATATTTACTTCATCTCAGTTCAAACCTGTGATTTGCACAGCAGCTAGTCTGAACGAACCTTAGTTACAGCTTAGAAGCGAGAGTTGATAATTTCACTTCTACCTTCTGACTTGTATAAAGTTCTGTTCATGATTGTTATTCTAATATTTTGTTAAGATCAAACAAATAAGTTGTTAAACTTGAATAAAGAATTTATTAAGCTCAGATATTTAACGATGCAATCGGGAATGGTCTACGGGTATTTTATGGTCGTGAAACTTGGAGAGGGCTTATTCAATCTATAAATCAAGAATTATAATACATTAGAAGTTTCAATTAGGAAAATCGTGAAAATTTCGCTGGTACAACTAAGTATATATTTTTAAATCGAGTTTACCCCAAACAAGAGAGTAAAACTGTTAATACACAAGGGATTATTGGGCGTGGAAGAATTAGAAACAGAAACATTACTAATGAGCGAGAAAATAAAAAGTAATCAGGAGGTCAGTAGACAGCGATATCACTGTATTTAATTTTTTCAAGAATAAGGTGGCCAGAAAGCATGGAGAATGGAGTTTTACAAGCGAAAAAAAAAAAAAGAAAAGAAACTGCTAGCATAGAATTTACGGTTACATCTAGTCAACAGCTGTAAATTGATCATAACTCAATTTCAATCTAGTACTGCGTTTAAATTCAAGATGTCTACCTACTATAGCGAGGAGCCATATTTATTCTGAAAAATTTAGAGAAATGTGGCATAAAGTGAAAATAAGGAATGGGGAAAAAGGATGATCTTCTACTGTTGTAACATTAAACTTAGCTAGCCAGGATCACTGACCCAAACATACCATAATATTCCTTACATCAAAACAACGGATTCTTACTTACCATTCATACAATATCCACCATACTGCTTCAAATTCACGATGAAAATTCTAACTAGTCCTCATAAGTACAATTTATGTTTGTTTAAGGAAATGAATAAATTAACTATAGCGAAGATTGATATTTATTCTGTATAATACAGAAATGTGGCACAAGGCCGTAGGGGGGGGATTGGGGAAAGGACGGTCATAGCGAAGAACCCATCCAAACAATTACCATGAAAGTATTTATAGAAAAAGAACAGGGCGAGCAACCTTAGGGTTATGGGGAGGGGACTGAAAACGAGCTGACAGATCAAGACCAATAATATTGCTGATTCTTCTTTGGATTTTATCAAGAAGATCGAGATAAATAGTAGAAGCAGCAGTCTATAGGTGCCAGCGATATTTCAAGCATGGACGAATGGTCTACGTATAAATTTGTAGAATGGGTTCTGGTGGAAAAAAAACTGTCTCTCATGACACAGTGAACCAACATTCTTAACAGCTGACCTAGCAATATGTTCACGCTAGTCATATCTGATGAACACAACATGTATTCCGTCAAATTACGCCCAGGCTCCATTGGGCGCCGTACTTTTGAGGCGTTCGAATTTATTAAATATCTCGAATTATTTTATCTAATTCCCGAGTTTGTCGCAAGAGATTTGGTGAAACATCTTGGGTTCTCGAAGATAAATATTTCACTTTTCCGCATCTCGGCTATTTTAAGTCACTGTGGACTTTTGATCTCTTCCATTCAAAAGCATCTGCAATTTCAACAGCTGTCTCTTGACTAACACAAGACAATCACAATAAGTGACCTTACAATGCTATCTTCCTAATGTCTCTTCAGAAATTCACTATTGCCGCTTTCTTTTCCCAATGACCACAAATTTGGGCCCACGTAATCCGCTCACCGCGGCCAAAATGTGACCTTTTCCTTGCATGTCATCCGCCACTAGTTGGAAATGTCGAAAATAGCATAGAAAATTAAGTTGCCGCGCATCTCGAGAGGAGAAGATAAAGAGGAAAGCGGTCAGAGGAGAAAACTGGGTTGTAAAAGGACTCGAGGTAAAACTGCCAAATTTTAGTATGGACAATGGGAATTATTCGTCGTTATTGAACTCTTTGCACCGATCAATTCAGTTTGGCTTGAACCTTCGCACACTTTAGTTGGTATTGTGCCTGAAAAGATTAGTTAAACTCCCATTCATTTTCTCTCTGACATTTCCCAGACTGACGATAATCCTGCCTTTGCCAATTTTACATTAAATACTATCGCTCTATTCATAATGTTCTATTTTCAAGTTCGGCTTATGAGTTT